GTTCACATTTACAGTTGACTGACACTTTTGTCCAAAGCAATGTTCAAATGAAGTAGGGATGCACGATGATTATTAGGACAGATAAATTATCGTCCGATAATGGGAAATTTATATTATTTTTAATTATCGGGATAATTGAGTTACAGCTGATAAATTAGCAGTTGATATTAATAATCATTTATTTGGAATTCTTATGCAAAACGATTGATAGACTTTATGGTCAATCAAACCCAAAGTATGTTTGTGAAGTTTTTTTATTACACTTAACTAAAAAATATAAAAGAACATTTGAAGAGTCAGAACTGTTTTTTGTTGTGTTAACAATAGTGATGTCCGTTAGATTTGGTTAGAACGGAGCTATGAATAATGAGTAATAGTATGAGTAGCTATGAGTAATGTTAAATCATCTATCTTTACTCGCTATATCTCAGCCTTTATTACTGTCAGGTGTGAGGGGTACTACAGGTTATGAATTTTAAATTAAAAAAAGAAAAATGATCTGTTATCTTGTTGGTATCGGCCACAAGAAGCAGGTAATTATCGTCTTTTCATATATTTGGCCTGCCACTGTTTTTAAAGCTATATTGTGAAATGAAAGGTGAATGTGTGAAATGTTGGTTAACTGATGTAGGTTACAGCCTTAGCTTTGTTTATTAATCTACCTACTGTTTTATTATTATTTTATTGTTATTGAGATATTTATAACACAGCATTTCTCATGAAGGGCATAGGGTCTATTTTTGTAGTTTCATGTCAGTAACAATTTTAAAATGTGTCTTCCTCCTCTTCATAACTTAGTTAAGTTAAGCTGTTTTTCAATCTGAAGCCTATTTATTGATCTAAAATAGTCGATTTATTCTATTTAGTGAGGATATATGATACAGTTAAAGTGATTCTTGCAGCATTAAAAGTAAAAAAAACAACCACATGTAAAGCTGCAGTGGGAGAGACTAGTAAAAATACACCTGTTTTGTCAGCCGACATTAACTCAAGGTGCAGCAACCAAGAAAAGTGTTATTTCATTGGAAACTTCAGGTCAGTGTCTGGTTCATATGGGTGGTATACAATCCAGTAAACACTGTTTGTGTGAGTGCGTACAAGCCCAGTGTACATAGACCTGTGTGTACCTCAGAGGGAATATGCAGAGCTGCAGAAATGAGGCATAGCACTGACTGATGCTGCCGGCCTCTCTGCTTCACAGAACTGGCTTTTCTATCAGATAGACAGCTTGACAATATCCAGACCCCACTCTTTCCGCTACACACAAACACACAAAGGCACGCCAACGCACGCACACACACAGGCACATACATACACACTCATGCACACACAGTTTTCTGGGTTTGTTCTGCTTGTTTCTGGCTGGACTGTTTGTAAGATAAAAGAGAAGTTTGTAGCTGAGTGAGTACAGTAAAGTCTGACCTCTCACACAGGCCTTCATTGTGTTATGTGTAATTGAGAATTTTAGTCCCATTTTCAACTATTTTACAACATAAGAAACTTTCACAGCAAACTCAGTAATAATGTTGAGATTATTCAATGTCATATGGACGAGCATCATTTGTTACTGGCTTCATACTTCTAACAGAAGTAAAGGCAATTTCATGTTCACTTGATTGATTGTCTATGTCTGTTTGTGAAACAGTAGATCATTTGTATTGTTCCCATTTGGGAGAGTTAACGTCCAATAACAATAAGTGCTGCTATTTCACCCTAAATTTGCCATTTATCTCCATATTTTATTGAGTCCTGCCACATCTCTCCTCTTCAGCATTACACAGATGTGATAGTGAGCTCACATACACAAACACACATATGGTATGTCTGCATGTGCATACACACACAGATTCACGGTGTCTTGGTAATGTCATTACTTTCGTCTGACTGAGATCACAGATTTGTAGCTTCAGGGCTTTCTAGTGTCTGTATAGAAGCTCTTTCATGTTTGGCCTTAGTGATCTGCAGCTTTCCTGACACCAGGAGGGTGGATATACCCAGCATCCTTTTCTCTTTGGTAGAAAGCATATGATGCCCTACTCTTGTCAGGCGATAAAGGAGAGCTTAGCTATGCTGGCCAGTAATGCTATACTTCCTCCCCGGGCTAGTAGCTGTTGTTAGTGTGTGCAACAGAAACAGAAACTTTTGTAACTGCTCACCAGCAGGCTAACTGAGGATTAACCACCATTCAAAGGATAGGCTGTTCCCAGGGAATAAGACAAACTCATGGCTAACCATAGCTTAGCTAAAGTAGTAAGTACTAGCTCCTCTTAATAACAGGTAAATACACCAATAAAAGTGTCTACTGCCAGGGCTGGAACTAATGATTATTTTCATGTCATTGATTTATCTGCTGATTACTTTTTTCAATTAATGGTTAAATGTTTTAGTCTATGAAAAGTTGAAAAAAAAAAAGTGAAACTACGCAGAGCCCGAAGGGACCTCTTCCAAAAGTTAAAACCCAAAGATATTTAATTTACTGTTATAAAATGGCTAAAAGAAGCGTTTTGGCTTAATGATTACTAACAATTAATCAGCAAAAGATTTACTAATTAGTTTTCTGTGGATCGACTAATCAATGAATTGACTGATTTTAGCTCCATATACTACATTGAGTATAATGTATAATATAATAATTGATGTATTTAAAGCCATTGATTTAAATGATCTAACAAATAAATGCACTTATTCCCTACATGCACTCACAGCTGTGCTGGAAGAATATGAATATTTCGAAACAAGATTCCAAACTATGTTGTTTTTTTTATTTTGTCTGAACTTTTAAACAATATTTGTTAAAGCAAAAAAAAAAAAAGACGACCCCAATAAACAAGGTAATGAGTGTGTATTAAATTCTCAGCAGTTTAAAATGTGTTTTGTAACCCCAACATACCTTTGACACAAGTTTGTCTGTCGCTGGTTAAGTAGAATCAGTAGTAAAATTCCCCAGGAACCAAACTGACACATAAACATGTAGCATTTATTTGATTGTACATGCTGCTCATAGACCTGCCAGCAGTGAAACTATATTTTTAGCAGCTTGATGCATCTCATGGTGCCTTTATGATGTGTGTGCAGGGCTGCTAGCTGTGTCTTGGAGCAAGGCTGGTCGCCTGCTGCTCAGATCTCAGGTGAGGAAAGGCCTGGAATCACTCATCCTGACAGCCACATCTGGCGCTACTTTCTCTGTCCTGTTGCCCTTAACTCTGCTCCTGAAAACAGATACCACTCTGATTTAACCACAGAGGGAAGGAGTTATGATAATAGCAGTTATGATAATAACGTTATTGGTGGTTATTAATGAGATGGAGAACAGACAGTTTACTCAGGAGAAATGCACTCCCGAAGAGTGCTGTGTGTAATAAAACCATTGTTACTGCTAGCATTTTTTTGTTTTCAGGCTTTGTCCTGCCGTTGCTGGAAAGCGAATTAATGCCAGGTGCAACAAGCAATCTTTCTGTTCTCTGTATTTACTCTGTGGATTATACATAACCACTGCTCTATTGGAAATAAAGGCTTACAGTAAATGCAGAAGAAAAAAACCACATTTTAGCTGAAGCATGACTTCATAAGCATTGTTCAGTGTTCAAATGTATTTTGACACTGACTCAAGGCCAGACATTTGTAGCTCTCACGTCCATTTATTAAATATTAGAATATTAGTGAACCTCACACCTTAATATGACCGTAACAGCTCAACATGTATCCAGAAGAATAACCTCACATGCACCCTCGTCTACTCTGCTTTTGTCTTCATTCCACATTGGACGGAGCAATCAGTTGGCAAGCTCAGCTGGTTCCAGACCCACATTTAAGGGCAAATTCTAGCCAGAACCAGACCGGCACACAGTTTTCATCTGTTTCCTGTTGAACCTATGAAGTAAGGGTCAGAGTTCAGGGTAATATTTACGTTAATGGAATGACTCCAAACTGATTAAATTTCAAAACAAGAGCCTGAGGTATCTAGGAGCAGCCTGCACTTGCACATTAGATATAAACAAACACTTTTGGTACTCACCATATGCCATCATTTGTTGTAGGCCCTCAGTCTTTACTGCCTATTGAGAATAAAGTTTTTTGATGGAGACAGCAGACATAATAGTGAGTGAGCAGTCAGCTGCAGAAGAACAGAGCAATTCTGCGCTCACTGCTTTGAGGAGCGCATCACCACAGGAGTCCATGATGGGAAAATCAGTCAGCCTGGATTCTCACTGAATGTTGTTAAATACGAGACTGCTGTCATGTGTACAAATGGACACGCATGCACAAACACAAAGTTTAGTACCTGGCACACAACAACTGATTTCAGAATAAATTCCAGCTGTAGCTTGCAGTTTATCCAAAATACAGTGCACGCAAAATTTCCATACACATTACTGCTGAGAAATGTAATCTTCTTTTGATACATGTATATGTTATAATTTACTGAGGTTGAAGAATTTAGAAGAAGCCACCCTTTTTTAAAGAGTCACATGGGAAAGAGCTTGTTTGTTTAAATGGAAAAACCCAATGTTTTTCCAATAACATTTCTTTTTTTATTTGGTGACTTTTTTACTGTTTCTCAGTAGTGAGAACTTGTTTTAGGGTTTTATAACACAATGTACCCCATATTGTATATTAGTTTTAGCCATATATGTTGCATATGAACTTAATGACCGAACTGTGTGAAAATAATAAATGTTAAGATCTACAGTAATCGTGATGAATAAAAACATGACTTTTAGTTTCATAAGTGAAAACAGCACTTTGCCATATCTGTTTATATTCTCTTCAGTTTCACAAGAAAACAGACATAGCTGCAAATATAGGTGGTTATGGTACAGAACCAAACATTGACTTCCACATACGGTTGTAGAACCATATAAGGAGATTCCTACAGTACACAGACATGAGAATCAGTAGATCAATGAGTACCACATGGTGTCCATCATGTTCATATGGTCGTGTGATTCCAGGTGCATAAAAAGAATCAAAGTTACAACTGCTTTGTGGGTTTCTCCCAGCCAGGTCTTTAGACAAACTGTACAACTTTGCCGACTGTGCTGGTCTGCACCTGATCCTGGGGCTGAACGCACTGCACAGAAACCCAGACAACTCCTGGAACACCTCTTCCACCCTGAGCCTCCTGAAATACAGTGCTGGCAAGAAGTACAACATCTCCTGGGAGCTGGGTAACGGTCAGTATAGCTACACACCACAAACTGTCTATAAAATCTAATATGCTTTTACTCATCTACTGTACATAAGTGTGGCTGATGCTGAGGCACAGTTAGGTACCTCCATGGTGGGACGTTCTTACTTCACTACACTACGAGAGTTTGCACTTTTTATTGCATTTGTACTTTTTATTGAATAACTTTGTCTGCAACTTGACATCTTGCATATATATATATATATATATATATATATATATATATATGTATGCAAGATGTCAATAATAACCAAACTAAACAAATGTCAACACTTTACAAACTGTAACGTCATCCCTAAACAATGTCAAGCATTAAACAGAACATTGTAACCTAACCAGTCAAAAACTGGTTGAGGTTCCTGCAGCTTACTGGAAACCTTGACCCTCGGAAACACTGAATGAACACTTTAATAATTTATGCATGTACATGTCACCTCTAATACATAATTAACAAAATTTCAGCTGACTTTCACTTTTAATGAAGGATTAGTCCAATAAAACTTCCAGCGTTCAAGTTTTTTCTCCACTAACACTGTGCTGAGAAAGCAGTTACACATTTAGTTTATTTAACATTTACAGGCTATAACAGCTTGGATAGAGACATTATTCAGATTGTGAGCTGTAAGGTGGAGTCAAGCAGTTTAAGGGTTAAGGCGAGGGTTCATTCAGGGATGAAAGGAACTGCTAGTCCTCATGTCATCCTAACCATCTGTGTTCCTGGGGAGCTGCAGTGCACACAGAGAGCCCTGTGTTTCCCACATCAGTTCATATTTTCATTTCATTTCATCTGTAATAAGCCCACAATAGAAACTTTTATTTTAGCCTAAGCTTAAGCCTAAGTACCATGCAAAATCCATTGATTGGACCATGTGAAAAATTTAGTGAGGACTTGAACTGTAGCAAAAGTAATAATTTCAAGTAAATCACCCAGACAGTGCAGAGACAGAGCAAATTTGTAGATGTTGAATTAAAAGGTGATCCTTTGAAATTTTTGACTAATATTCTCATTATGGTTTTCAGGAAGACAGCACACACACACACAAAACAGGCATTTTACAAGTTTTATTTTACAGCTCAAATAACCTGGTACAGATATGGTCACAATGCTCTTTAGGAGAATGGTTAAACAGCAGTGGGCCTGCAAAAGTTTAGTTATCCTCCTTTTGGGGAAACTAGCTCCCTCAGTCTCTTTGTTTTACTGATTCTGCAAGGCCACCCTGTGTGCTTGGACCATTCCCCTGACACTGAGTCCATCTGTCTGTATTACTGCGAATTGCCCAATTATCCCGTTTTCTACTGGCTGTTGGATACTCTCTAGGAGAGCAAGATCAGACTACAACAACAACAATATTCTCAGCCTCCTCCCCACTGTTGCTTGTATAAACTCTATCTCTCTGGCTCAGTGTACTACATCTCCTCTTCCCAGAGCCTAATGCCTACCGCAGCATGGTGGGTCGTGCGGTCAACAGCACCCAGTTAGCTCAGGACTACACCAAGCTGCGGACCCTGCTGCAGTCTGTGCGCTACTACCACCGAGCTCACCTCTATGGCCCCAATGCAGGACGACCCCGAAAAAACGCCATCCTGCTGCTGGATGGGTGAGTCAGCAAGTAAAACATTGATTGGGCAGGATTCCTGTCCTTGTTAGGCTATCCTGCTGGGAAAAAAAGGGGGGAAGGTAGTGGAAAGTATGCTGCTGCAGTTTGATACTTTTACTGAGCTTTACTGTGTTTAATGCACACACGTACACACACATTGTAGTAGTGTTCAGTGTTTATGGATTTCCACTCTGCAGGTTTCAGGGTCTCAGCTCCAGTTATACCATGTCAGCCTAAATAAAGTGTCATCTGATTGATAACGTGACGGCACAACGTCCCACCTGCTGGTTTTACCCAGAAGCTTCAGTTTGACTCAGCTTATCTAACAGTCCTCTCTCAACTGCAGCCTTTCCCCTCCTGAGATTGTAATGTCATACCTTTACTGCACAAAAATACCATATAGACTGTTTTCTATTCTGCTTGATACCCACAAGTCATTAATACTACTACTTAATACTTTTTGCTATTTTCTAAGGTGAACATACATCTTCAGATTAACTTCCTATCTTCTACAAAGTTACTGTTTCCATTTAGGTCAATTTGAATATTGAGCCTAAGTTTTGTTTGTCTTGACTTACTCACGAGCACATGAACAAATGAACAAGGAAGAATTTTGAAAAACTATTTATAACACCACAATAACATAACTGATAAAAAGCTGTAATGGCTTTACAGATCTCAAGAAAGTTTAAAGTCTGTGTAAATATATTTTCTAAACCTGATTTAAAAACGTTGGCTGTCTGAAAGGTATTGAATCATTGGTATGATGAATAAACTTCCCTCTTACTTCTCCATCACAAATTTAAGATCTTCTTAAGACTGGTCATCTGCCTAATCCACAAAATGTGCTCTAATTGCAAATATGTGTTCTCCCAAAATCCAAAATGTGAATTACTGGTGCACTGAAAGTAAAATGAGAAACTGACTCACAAACACAGGAGAAAAAATATTATATTGTATGGGATAAGATCTCAAAAATGTTTAATTTGGACACTGACGCTTCATGACACATTCATTCTACAAAATGTCATTTGGCTGACTCTTAATGTACCACAAGCACTGATTCTACCCTGATTATATTAACCACAACCCTCAGATTGGATATAGGTATTCAGGCTACTTTTGGGTGTTACTCCCTGTCTTAGTTTGTTGAGACTCCTTTTAGGCAAAAAATGCTTTCTCAGTTCTATTAACCAAATAGATGACGGCACCCCTCAAACATATTCATCACTTCCAAAAAAGTTAAGCCTTTCTGAGCTTTTCTGTCTGTTGAAATGGAAACAAACTTGACTAAAATGGATGCACCAGTGGCCCGGTACAACAAACACAGATTGAAAATCAAACATCGATGGATATACACAACTGTGTCAGTGTTTGACGATCCAAATAAAGTGTGACCTTATGGAAAGATGTTTTCTTTTTCCTCAGTATAAAAAAAACACCTCAATACTATCAAAAACAGAATTAGAATTATATTTAAACAATTGGTAACACTTCAAATAAAACTTACTTTAGCCCCCCCTATCTGGCATTTATAAGCAGTATATAAACATTTAGTAAATGGTTTATAACACACCAGTTGTAAACAGATATAAGAATTTATAAATGTGTTTGTCAACAATTAAAACTCCTCCTGTCTGTGGGCACTCATAAATGGAGGCTGACAATATAGTAAAATGCAGTTGAAGGAGAAGTTATACACTTAGAAAATGTGCTTACATCTGCTTTAAACTACATTATAGTGTGTTTATTTTATTATAATGTTTTTAAAAGCTATATAGTTGCCACACGAGCTAATTTAAAGATCAAATACCTCATTCAGATGTTCAGTGTGTAATGTGTGTAAATGAAAATTTCACACACAACAATTTTGATAAAATGATGTCCACAGGAAGGTTTTTTTCTCGTCGCCACTGGTGAATAAACAGATGAAACACTGTTATACATGTCATGATTTGTGAGTAGACAGGTTAGAGTTGGTCCTTGGCAATAACCATAAACATCCAACATTCACTCTCTGTTGTGGGTGGCTAAAGGGAACCTGTAATCAATGTTTCTGTAGTCCGTCACCACATATTTAGCAGATTTTCTTTTACTCAGTTAACAATACAATTAGAAGTGACAGAGGTGGACTATATAACTCTGACTTTGTTAAGTAAACAGGGAACAGCATTCCCTTGAACCAAAACAGAGTCCATAAAGTTAATAATGTGTGCTAAAATTATGTGTGTGTAGGTACATGCACAGGAACAGTTTAATGTCTGAGTGTCCCACACACATTTTGACAGGAAGTTGGAAGACAGAGGAGAAAGAGTAGTTTTATATGCGTCTCCATTCACTATGTACTTGAGCTACTTACATCAGTGAAACCATTAGGAACTCACTGTTTATCTCACTGAGTACTGACAGCTCAAATTTACTCATAAGTAAAAGGTGTGTTTGCATGCACCACTGACTGATGAGTAGTGGACTCAGAGGAAAGGACTCAGAGGATGTAGTGGATGAGTTGTGAGGAGGAGGAGGAAGAGGAGTGAGAGGATGAAGAGGAGAGAGAGAGAGAGAGAGAGCTGGAGTATCCGCAGGTCACGGGTGACACATTTAACGACGGGCTGATTCTTGTGTGTTTGACACTGTTACGAGGGGGTGGCTCTTGTGTTTGACAGCCCGACTACTCTGCTGCTCTCAGGAAATAAGATGAATTAGACACTGAGTTACTCAACAGTCCAAATATCAGAGCTGGACAGACTAAACAAGCCAGAGCGGTGAAAGTTTAGAGACACACATTTGGGCATGTCTGACAAGCTGTTACCCCCAAATATGGAGCGATTTGGGTCAGGTAGACTAGGGCACACACACACACACACACACACACACACACACACACACACACACACACACACACACACACACATAGATGCAACAGCTCAGGAGGAAGAGGTTAGACAGGAGGAGGGACTGTGTACATGTTGAGTTTGTGTTTGTGTACAGGATCAGTCCGTTAAAAGGTACATTGGGTTCACAACATTTTATGTGTATTCGAGGGATGTTTGGAGTTTGTATTTAACTCACTGAAAGTTACACGACATGCTGCAGGAACAGCTCTAGAAAAAAAGGGCTGTTTACTGCTTTACAAAATTAGTGTTTCCTTCATTTGTGTAGTATATATTATATATATGAAAATAGTTGAGTAAACACAGGTGTTTTCAATAGTGTATAATCAACTGAATAGGTTCTGTTCCATTCAGGTCACAAACAGAGTCATGGTGCTGCTATTGAGCATGTTGTCTCACTGGAGAAAGACTCTGCTATGTTAAATGAAACAGAACCTTACTTATCAGTATCATCAGGAGTACCTGTGTTTACCCTACTATTTCGAGTCAAGATGGCTGCTGTGATTTTTGAATCTGCCAGCCTTAATAGCCAGAGGAAGAATGTCAGTGCTCAGCTGTGCAACTGTAAATCTTTGGTTTCTAGATAAGCAAAATGTAACATATGAATCACGCCCAGATTTTTGACTTGGTCCAATCCACTTTGTTTGCCATTTACAGAGCACACACACAGTAGAAAGCTACTGGACCATAAGGGGATATGAACTGACTTTGAAAAAGTATATTTTATTAATAATATTAACTCACCTTTTAATTTTAGGTTGACAAGATATTCCCAAACTATTTGACTTAAAAGTAAGCTTTTAATTAATAAAACTAACACGATTTATTCCTGTAGATGTACATATCAACCAAAGATTGAGTAGTTATTTTGCCCATAGAAAACTGCCATTTACTCCACATAAACCAGATATATTCTGCACTTCCAGGTTCAACATAAAGCTACCATACTTAGCACAGTGGTGCTCACGTGTAGTCTTTTTTGTAGTGCGATGGGTGGTTAAAATTGACATTTTTAGTGAATTCACCTTTGTTTTCACTCTCCAAATAATTTTGGAATGTGAAGGATATGTTGTCAACCTAAATTGCACCATATCTGCCCGCCTGCCCTAAAGGTTCTTGTAAAACTTCCACATCTCTAGTTAGGTTGTTGGGTAAAATGCTACATTGATGGCCACGACAGTGAAAATAAGACCCAGGTTGTAAAAACAATTTTTTTTTCATGTTTGAAGAAAAAGTGCCACTCAGGTAAAGGTGACTCTGTTTATCTGACTTTCAGGTTCATGAAGAATGCTGGCTCTGTTGTAGATGCAGTTACGTGGCAACAGTAGGTATTTTACCCTTTTTTTCTACTTTATTATTTTGTCTGTATCGATCTGCAGTCTTCTTAACCGTAGGCTGCTCACATAACTGACCATATATCTAACAGCACAGGCCATGTTTTAATGGTTTTAATACCATTATCACCACATTCCATATACCGGTATATATATTACACACAGTTACTGAGAGACACTGATGCTTAATGTGGTAAAATGTGTTTATCCCGTAAATGGAACAACAGGAAAAGGATCCTGAGAGAGTGTGTGTGTTAAATTAGTAACACCTGCGATTTGTCTATTGCACATCTTGTAGGAATGCATACAGACATATCAATGGTTTGATCTTTTTTGTTTTATCTGTATCTCTTTTCACACACATATGTTGAGTGTGTACAAAAAGACACACCCACTGTAAGCTCAGACAAACCCTGTGTGACTGAGTGAGTGGTCATTAAGGTAAAGGTCAGGTCTAATTAGGAGAAATTAGAAGAAACGGAAGGAGGCAGGGCTGTCAGTAAGGCTTAGAAAAACACCACCCACACTGTTAAAATCAAACCATATGCTCTGGCTCATTCCCTTTGTCAATTAGCCCGTTTTACACTAGAGATCCAGATTCCAGTCTAACCAGGCTGCGTGACAGAAACTCTGACCTCTACAAAACAAGCCAAACCAATAAAAGTGGAGACCACTCATTAACACGTCTACGACACAGGTTTTCCTCTGCTGCATCTGGCTTGAGTTGTTTCAAATCAAACGTAGTAGGTTGGAAACAGCATTCATTATAAAACTGGTTTAGAGAATCATATGGATTTGTTAGAGTTTGTCTGTCTGTGGCTTATGGTCAGAGGTGTTCTGTTATAGCTTGCGGTGATGAAACGTGTTGGTTATGTAGTGAAATATTTGTGTACCTCCAGATCACAAAACATTGATATATTGTTTGCATTATGTTATGACATTTTTTTCCACAACACGTGTAGTTTCATATTTGCTGCATCTTGTCCCGGTTAGTGCTTATACGTTTTTGGATTCGTCGAACAAAACATGGTCTGTATGTTTGGTCATTCTCTTTTAATCATCCTCTCTTTCTTTCCATCGTTTTGCAGTGTTAGCTTTTCTTTCAAGTTATAGAGAGAGGGTTCCCATTTTTCTAAAGATACTTGCCTGTATGTCTGGATGCACACATTTAATTTTTTCTGTTTTCTTTTCAGAGCACTTTCACCCTAACCCAGTTATTTTTTAAAGTAAATTAAAGGGCAAGTGCACAAAAATGTTGAGAAAATGTTTTCTCTGAATGTTTTTGGATTTATTTATTTGTTTATTTGTTCAGGTTTTGAAATATACATTTCTTAGATTTTATTTATGGTGCTCAAACAAACCAAATAAAAAATAAAATAAATCAATAAGGACATATGTCCCTCTTACTCTGAATAATCCACAGAACACATTGTTTTCATAGAGACAGTTTCTATGGTGGAAAGCAGTCACAGTGAAAACAGTGAGTTCTATGAATTATCACAAGTAACCAGGACATTGTTTCTGGAAAGACATGTTCCTGTTAAATTTTTCAAATGTAATTTTTTAGTGCATGAATGGCATTGGCAGTCAGTCCACCTCTTTGGTCCTGGCTGACAAAATCTGAAGAACTAGTAGACAGATTGCCATGAAACTTTTTACAGACATTTATGGGCCCCTGAGGATGAATTTTCACCACTTTGGCTATTCCCTGAATTTTCCCCGAGCGGCACCATGAGGTTGAAATCTGTGGTTTTAAATGAAATGTCTCGACAGCTATTGGATGGATGCCCATAAAATTTGCTACAGACATACCCCGCTCAGGATCAATTGGAAATTGGTGGGCCCTTAAATTGTTTCTGCTGTAATTTCTCACGGCATTGTAGGTCAAAATGTCATTTGTCCAATACTTTGGTTTATGACCAAATACCTACAAAACTAGGGACATTCAAAGCAGCCTAAGCTGTACTTTCTGTTTAGTTAGCATGCTAATATGCTGAACTAAAATGGTCAACATGGTAAAAGTTAAGTGCAAAACAACTAGCTGGCCTTTAGCATTTAGTTCAAAGCACCACAGTGCCAACTACAGTACAGCGTCACAGAGCTGCTAGGATGGCTGTAGACTTTTAGTCTTATTTCAGGGTTGTGAGCAACACAAATACAATTCCATTCAACTCTATTGCATCTGGGTGTTGGCAAAAAATCTCAGATATGGATATCTGAAACCTGGGCAAATAAAACTAGAAGCATTTACTATATTAGCATACCATAGAAGTGCGTGAGAAAATATATATATTTTTTGTAAATTAGGTGAACTCATTTTTTGATCTAACACCATCCTATTACACCTGCACCCTCTAACCTTAACTATAGTGAACATGCTCTGTCTTACCTAACTGGAGCTGCCTCATGGTGAGAGAATTAAACCAGTCAAAAGTGTGTGACCAGACGGCTGCCACTTCTAGCTGTGAAAATATGAGCAACAAAATTTACGATTTGCTGTTTAGATGCCCCATTGCAACACACTTAATGTGAACCCTAATTGTTCCAGCAGTGGGGTATTAGTGGTGTGAACATTTGAGTTTGATGCAAGCAAGCAAACCCCTGCCCCTGCTAAACTTGTTTTAATAATGAAGTGATGAAAGGTACACTTAAATGACCCTTGCTTTTGAAAAAGAGCACTTCTTGTGCTATGCACTGTAGCCTGAAAGTGAATCAGAAACATACATGTTGATCAGTTTGACTCTTTGCAGCTACACGGTCACATTTTGAATGGGCTAGGATGACACATTATACCCACATCTTTCTTGCTCCTTGTCAGATTAACAGTGGTACTGCATGCCAGAGAGCATGGTGTGCTGGTTATTTATGATGAGTGGAGAAAAAAAGAGATGCTAAAGATTTGTGATCTCCTCCTTTCTAGTCTGAAAATCACAGAGGGACTGTAAATTTACTGATGGCATTCCTGAGGGAAGCTACATATCCTTGACTGTTATATAATGATTGATCTGATCATAACCTGCTGGTCCACATCAAGGAACACATCCTCTTCTTACTTTGCTACCCCTCTGCTCACCCCAAATCTCTTACTACACCAGATGGCCATTCCTTGACACTTATTATTACAAGTCAACTGTTATACACTATACTCATGCATTACTTGAATTCCATTTTACTTCACTACACATTTACAGTACTTACTAATTTTACTAGTCAAATTAATTCAATTAATGTGAATGGAACCATAACTTTTGAGTACTTAAGTAAGTAAGTAAAAATGTAAAATGTAGGGCTCCAGTTGAGTATTTTTGAAACTCTTCTGGCTCTGCTTCCATCCATGCTTGTCTGATTTGATCACATCTATTGCTTTAGTCTGTACCATGATTTTCTATTAATAAAGTGTTAGATAGTTTTATTGAGCTGTCTTTGATGCGGTTCTGGCACTCAGTGAGAGCTGTGTAATACAAGCTGACTAAGTGGATCTTTGTCTGAAAACATTCAGACACAGTGTTGTTTACTTTAGCATTTTATTGAATTCTGGTCAGAATGGCAGCTAAAGTATCACGCCAAATTTTGGAGGAACAAAGGAAAAGTTCTTGGTTCTGTTTAGAAGTTTAAACTTGAGCCATTCTTTGAATACCAAGCTATAACCTCCTCCTGGTCAAAATACTTGAATAGTTTTCTTTCTTTAATTTCTTTTTGGGGCTTTTGCTTCTAATGAACCACCAAAATTGACTGTTTAATAAATAAAGTTAATCTTGCCTTGTTACCTGATGTTTTTATAAACTGTACCCAAAAATCCAAGTAGCCCTTATTTGCAGTGCAAGATATTGCTATAATAACTTGCACTGTCCTTTATTCTGTTTCCATATATGAGCTGGAATTTCTTTGCCTGGGATCTGGACCGAAGAATTATTGTGAGCTCCCTGGAAAGATGACAGGATAACCAAATAATTTGTGTAAAGCTATGACTTAATCTGTGCGTTGTTTACAGTTTGAGGCCAGGAGCTTGGGACTTTTCCAACACTGTGACGAAAATTTCAACGATGTTAAGCTCAGATTGCAACACTGCTTCAACAACAAAATTCAGCTCTGTTCTCAGCAGTTTTGTTGACATATCTGTCATCTCCACAGACCTTTCCAAAACGGGTTCAATAGAGGTTTGACCCTTGTTTTGGAATATTTTTGATCCCGCGGTTGTTATGATTATATGGTCTTCTTGTCTACTGGCCTCCTTGGCATTGTCCCCCATTTAATTTGTTGCACCTTTGCTGGAAAAATGTAATGCTGACTAGCATTCTCTAAGTAACTTGATTGCCTCAATTGTAAATTGCCTATCATAGTTTTCCTGGAGTGTTCTCTGGTTTTGGAAAACAAAAAAAAAACTAAATTGGCACAAAACATTTGGAGCTTTGAGCAGGACTGAACTGAGCTGATCTGGTATTTTATTGATAACATTTGTTGCTTTAGAAGACTGAGAAAAGAAATCTGCTTTGCAATGAGGCACAGATTTTTTTAAATCTCTAATTAACAGGTGTTACAGCTGTTTCTTTTATTCATTTTATTATGTCATGGTGCTTTAAAAAGTACAAATAGTGTGAATGAATCCAAGTGGCTTGAAATACTAATTACTTTTTCTCATTTCATTACACAAAATATGTGGTGGGTTTTGTGCCAAATAATGCCTCTACATGAGTAGTTTAACCCTTATGCACGTAATGTTTTCTGTTGCTTATGTGCAGTGAATGATATGGAAATGTTGAAGTCTAATGACTAATGAATGAAGTTTATTTTAGGCCAGTATTGTTGCCCTTATATGACATCACAGAGAATTTGCAAACATAATTTCCCACCATTATAATAATGATGATGATGATGACGATGTAAATCCAGGTGACGTGAAGCTAAAGAGTATCATCGGCATTCAAATCTTGCTGTCTACTCAAGACAAAATGATACATATTTAGTGAGGCAGGTATAATCTGTGTATGTGTAGACATATATATATATATATATATATATATATATATACACAGTATATATATGTATCAATGGTACAGCCAGACTACTGAGAGAAGATAAAAAGACAGTATGTTTTAATTTCAACGTTGTTATTAGATTGGTTATTAGACTTGTGTAACAAATGTTTTTTTGTTTTTTTTCCTTCTGCAGTGCAAATAAGATGTGTTTTAATGGCACCTGAAACATGAACTAGAGTATGTGGTTGTTGCTCGCTTGTTTTCCTCTCTTGGACTCTTGCAGAGGATCTTGGAGAGGCTTTCTGTCTGCCCACAGGCTGATTTTCCTCAGGACTTTGGCTCTAACTACCAATAAATTCTTCTCTCATCATGCTCTCTTAACATCATCTCTCATTATCATCTTTCTTTGTGTCTTTATCGCTCACACACACACAGAATCACCACAGATGGATGTCTGCATTGTTCAGTCTGAGTTCTACATCTCAGTGCTTCCAATTCCTCTCTTATGCAATCCCACATTTTGACATAGAATTGGATTGTCAGTACGCTAAAGTGTAATTGAATATGTCAGTCCCTCTTCATCATAGCTGTTTTAGTAAAATGATGCATTGTGTACTACATCTATGAGACCAATGAAAACTATACTTAAGTGGTTTGGATTTTAAACCTGCAGTCCATAATAAGCTATATCAACGCTGATGGCCAAACATATGTCGCTGTTGTTCTTGTGACCTACCTGCTAGTGTAATAAGTTATTATAGTATATCACAGGATATATTAAACCAAAAGTTATGGAGGTAGAAGATGCACTGGGATTGTACACCTTCATGTCTGTCCAACAGGGAGAAGGATATAATGACATCAAATAATATAGAGTTTATAAAAAGGTTATACAGAATGAAACTTTGAACAGGTGGGTGAATTCTTGGATCGATAGATGGAGAATCAGAATGAAGCTTGTACAGTTCAGTTTATTTTTTACAATCTGTGCTGTAATAAAAATCATATGTTTGTTACTCACATTGTAAAGTGTGTACAGAGTGTTTCTCTCACAGCTTTTTTCTTGCATTTGCTTTACAGTTACTACATGGATGGCAGAGTGAACAAAGTGGAGGACTTCCTAAAAACTCGTCTGTTGGACACACTGACAGAGCAGATCAGTAAGGTCACCAAGGTACTTAAAGTTTCCCACTGAAATTTAAGCTACAGTTTATATATACTGCATGTACAATATACTGTTTATATCCATGAACTATTTCTGAAGTGGCTGCTCGATTCATACCGTCAGTTCAACATCTGTACTGTAGGTACAAAATTAGGTTAATATCTAGTGTATTTTTCAGAGGTCATATCTCAAGTCTTTTCCCAGTAACTTTAAATTTGATGAATTTAGACTTTTAGACCACCCTGAGGGAGGATATGAAGAAACCCCTCATTTGAATCATGAAATATATTTGCATTTCTTTTGAGTTTGCCAAGTTATGGATCAGCCCTCAGCTAGTTTTTGTGATGATAAAGCCACATGTGCAAACCACAAGAGTGAGCTGGTCATGAGGTAATGTTATCAACATTACGCTGACTTGTAAGAGATGAACAGTGCCAAAGTGCCTCAGGGAAAAAGAAGAATTCATTCCCAAGAACAAAAACATTCAATGAAATGTAATGGGAGTGGGATTCTCCTCCGAATTACTACTCAGCCAAAGTCAGTGAGATCAGTTTTTTGTGTTTTTATTTATTTGCATACAGTATGTAGAAATGTTTTGTTCCCAACTGTCATGACTTTCCATCAGCATGCAGAGTCACAAAAATTCACTTTATCTGATTTAGTTTGAATTAAAAATATGATTCTATTGTTAAGGTCCTTTCATTGATTCAAATTTCCCAAAAGTGATATTTATGTATTTCCATCACTTATGGCAGGTTGTGAACACACATGCTCCTGGTAAGAAGGTGTGGCTAGGTGGACTGGGCCCGGCGTGGGCAGGAGGCATCAGTAATCTTTCTGACACATATGCTGCTGGCTTTCTGTAAGTACTGTTATCATGCTGTATATATATATATGTATATATATATATATATATATATATTATATATATACATAATAATAGCTTGATAATAATGAACTGAACCAGCTGCATTAGATAACTTTAATTTTTTTTAAGAGAAAAGTATTTATCCCCAATGCATTATGTATTTTATTGGCAGTATGTGTCACAGTCAAAAGCATCTACTGTTGGATTTCCTGATATTTTGCTTTCTGTGTGTATGTGTTCATATTCCAGGTGGGTGAACACGCTGGGTATGGCTGCTATGCAGGGGATTGATGTTGTCTTGCGTCACTCATTCTTTGACTACGGATACACGCACCTTGTGGACCAGCACTTTAACCCTTTACCTGTAAGTCTCTCAATTTCAGTTCAGCAAGGGTTAGAATTGCTATTAGTTCACATTGTCAGAACCTAAATTTACCCTTCTTCATCATAATAACAAGGATCTGACCTGAGCAGTCCTATTACGCTCTGGACCTTTTCTGTAGCAGACCCAGTGCCTCGATGGCACCTCTTGCTCTTTCCCGTGGGAGCTATTAGGTGAGATGAAAGGCGTTTAGTGGTGATGAGTGGTTAGACGCGGGGGCGAAATGCCATGTAACCTTAGCCTTTTGTCAGTAGCCCAGGACAGTGTCACTGCTCCCCTCAACCCCCATCACAACTGTGTGCTTCTCTGTGCGGGACAGTCGGCCGGTGAGAGATCTGCAACCTGAGATGCTGACGCACAGACATGTTAGTAAAAAAAGCCTACAACACTGTGTGAAATGGAACTGCCCAATCCCAAGTTCCTCCGTGGTTTTGTCTGAATCATGCAGGGAGTGAAATACAACAAGCTTAGTCCACAACATTATATTAATTATCTGAAATAAGTATAATAATAATAAGTAGAATAAGTAGAACGGGAGATGTTCCTTGGTATTTTTAAGAAGGGGACATTTAAGTCTTTTCATAGTGATAAACTGATCTCATTTCACTAGGAAAAAAAATCAATTAGAAGTGTGAAGGAGTGATAAAATGCTAACATGAGCCAAGTTCATAAAAAAGATTTATTAAGTTCATAAAAAGGGTTTATATTAAGCTGAGGCAGAGTGGGGGTTGGAGGCTTACATTAAGGACATGTATAGTAAATCATCGTTTCTACAATAAAAGAAAAAGATGATGGAATCAAGGCATTAATCAAACATTTGTTATTATTCAAGATTCTTTTATTATTGGTCAGAAATAGCTTCTAGAGTGAGTATTGGAAATCCCAAAATACCATTTTAACCGCAAATGTTATTGGGCTTATGAACTAATCACTTCTGCAAAACCTGACAATATATTTTTTTGTACTAAATCCCTCGTTAGACCTCTCTAGCCAGGCATGCATTTTCTTCTGCCTCTCTTCAAATATATGAGATATAAAACAATTGGGATGGCTTCATTTTTCCCGCTCTTTGTATTATTTTTCTGGGAATGATGGTCTCCCGCTAGGTTCACAATGCTTTAAACATGGCTGGATGTCTAAAGGCTGCACTGGCCTACCTGCTGTGAGAATTCACTGCAGGGCCAACCTGTCCTCTGCATGGGAAATTTATGACCTGGCCCCTTCCCCTATAGGATAACTCCCCCTTTGGTAGAATCCAGTCAAAGCCCCCCACCGCCGCCCATTGAATGACTCAACCACATCACCTTTTTCTACACTGATCCCCTCCCTTTCTCTTTCTCGCTCTTCTGTCCCAATTACCCCCTCTTTTCCTGTTTTGTTTTGTTTAAACTCTACACGTGCCTGTTGTCTCCCTCCAGAGGGAATACTTATTCATCAGATACCAAACAGGGAGATGAGGCAGTAGATTGCACTCACTAACTGCCCCTTCTCCCCATGTTTCAACCCTAGGACTTTCAAACCTTCATGACTCTGCAGATTGTGCATATACTTGCACTCATGTGTTTTTCTGTTCATTTTTAACAGCTGTTATCTTTTTATTTTTATATGGGTAACCCAATTAGAGCTTGATGAAGATTGTTAACTTCTTTTGGAGCTAGTTAAATTAAAAACACTAAAATGTTGAACTTCCCTCTAGATACAGGGTAATAGAATAACCTCATACTTTGATCTTTGGATTCTTGGAGATTAACAGGGTCTCAACCAGGCAGTCTGACTCTCATTTGCCCCATTTAGCTAAACACTAAAGGTTAATTGTTATTCTCCTTGTTATTGTCCTCTTAGTCCCTTGACTGTGCAGCTGAGCTTTGATTGGTCTCTGGTAAATGGTTTTACTTTTCTGGAGTTCTTGACATGTTACTGGTTTACTTGTGCCTGCTTTTCTTTCTACCTATTTATTGGTCTACATGCTATTTTGACCGGTTGTCAAAGTGATGGTTGTTCCTCCAATTGACGTCTGTATTTCAAGAGATTTGGGAGTGAGAAAGACAGGGAGACAGAGAAGGCAGTTAGACAGGAAAACAGGCAGACAGACAGACTGCTGATGATTTAAGACCTCAGCTGATATTTCCCAAAAAATTTCAGTATTATGTCCCGCCAATTCCTGTTCTGGTCTGGGATTTTAACACACCCATAGTTTCAAATATATGAATTTATTGATGTTTTCTTTTTCTTGAGTTTTGAAATTTAAACACAAAGCAAGAGTATGGCATCGCTTCGGCCATCTTGCACAAATAAAACTCCAGACTCATAACTGTTCTATGTTTTATACACTATGTTTTAATCATAGATCACAGTTCTTGCCATACGTTCATCCACCCATCCCTCTGCCTGTGGCCAACACTATACAGCTCCATAATGTGCGTACTCTGCTTCTTCGATGCCTTGGCAGCAAATTAAGTTAAAGCCTGCATGGAAAAAAGAAGCCCTTAAATGTTGCCATATGCAGGATTGCATGGGAACTTCCTGAGGAACACATGTTGTTCTGGGTCTCTTGGAGAGGTGTTGAGTCTGTGTAGTCTATAGAGTGAGACACAGTATGGTGGACCACTCAACAATGATAACAGAAAACAGCAATTCATGATGGAACATAATATTTTGTAAAAATGTCATATTTAAGACCTGTCAATTCTTAACGGGTCAGCGGTTGTTAGATACAATGTGGCATGTTACATGGGACAATCAGCTCCAACTAAACGTTGTGTGTGCTGACATATTTGGACTCGATATTTTTGTGGAATACGGTATATCTCTTTTTTCACTCTGTCACAGACTAGCTGCTTTTCTGGTAACTTCTTAATTCTCACAATTTGGGAAACTTAATCTGTCTCTACAATCACCAGGACATTTCATGGAGGAATAAACAAAATGGATATTTTAGCAATATTTACTTTCAGGGGAATCTAGAATCTAAAAAAAAAAAAAAAAGGGTAATAAAATTCCTTATTTTAAATCTACCCTTACATTTAATTAGAGTGGAGTTTGTGATGCAGTTAAACGGTTTCCCTTCTATTAGTCTTATCAGATCTTTAAAACTTCCTTTCCACACCTGCATGTTTTTGCATTGTATGTCTAAACAGGAACCAGCTGAATTCTGTCCTCAGTATTATGATGATACAATTAACCCATACGGTCATAAAAGTGATGACAAATGTGTGTCTGTGTGTTGTGGTGCTGCCCTTACAGGATTACTGGTTCTCTCTGGTCTTTAAGCGTCTGGTTGGTCCAAGGGTTTTAGCTGTGCGGGTGGCTGGACTGCAGAGGAAACCACAACCAGGACGAGTCATACGAGACAAGCTACGTATCTACGCCCATTGTACCAGCTACTACAAGTACGTGCTACAGCTGAACCACATTAGTTTGTATCCAGCAATCAAACACAGCAAGAGTGTTAAATTATCCTTATATGCTATGATTTTGGTAATTTTTTTAACTTAAAGCTGACAGGTGACAGAGCACACATCCTCTTAGTCTTTCGGTGATTCAGTGTAGCAATACTTTGGGAATGTCCTTGAAGATTTAGATGGAAAACAGACTGCTTAACTTTTGTACTCCCTGTGTCCTCCTGCAAACACCTAAGGCTCAGTGTCTGGTGGGGAAGAACAAAATCCCTTACCGGCCCATTCAGCTTCCCATAAATAAGCAGACGGCAGACACCCGCTCATTCACAGCTCAGAGCCTATAAAACTTAACGGGTATCACTTATCAGGTGTGTGGGTTCTGTCTCCCTGCCGTCAAAGAGCCGCTGAAAGGTGTGCAAGGCCTTTATCCCATCTCGGATTGGCTGGAGGGGGGTATTTGAGGGGGAGGGGGAGGGACAATAAGGCGGTCTGTGCCGGGAGCAGATAAAGAGTGCCACCATGGCCTGTTCAAGGTTATCATTTAACCCAGGCCAGTGGCTGTCAGCACCAGGCTAGACTTACGGCCTTACTCTAGACAGGGCTCGTTTACAGGTGGAGCATCTCTTAGAAAAATAGTAGCACTACACAGATAGATGTCGATGGTTGGGCAGGAGTTGTATAACGGCATGCACGCAAATATTTGAAATAGTTTACAACAAGTGTGCTCACTTACTCCCAAATTCACCATGCCACCTGGCATGGTGAATTTGGGAGTAAGTTCCACTCATACCAATCAACCTGGCTTCATATGATCAGACAGTGAGGCACTAAAGCAGTCCCTCTTGAATCCAATCCATCTTGCCATTATTTCTGCCACTTTGTGGTTTTGCACAGTCCGCCCTTAAGTGGACGAACCATTGTAGTCTTAGTGGTTTGACTGTACTGTGTAAGACAGCAAAGACTCTGAATGTGCTGAGGCAGTCAGTGGTTTGAAAAGTCTTTGCAGATTAGATATTTGACTTTCACTGCCCTTTTACCCCTTTTAGTGGTTTGCATGAATTTTTTTTCACTCTCCAGCGATGCTCCAACATCAAACAGCATCAACACATGTTTATGTTCCTGGTTTGGATCTCTAAGAACCTCATCATTTGAAAAAGGCCTTAGAGGTCATTATCTCGCTCTCCATCTAACCATCTGATCTATCACTTGGAGCCAAGGTCCACGTTTCTCAGAAACAAACCTCAAACAAACCAAGTTTAACGCAGAGCCAGACACACAGCGTTCCCATCAACTGTACATGACTTTATTTCTCTTGGTAAATATATTGAATATGGCTCACCCTGTGCGCAAAAGAACAAAGATAAACATCAAACCAAAAACCAAGATTGCTTTAAAGATATGAAATTTTAAAGATGGCAACTGGGAGAGATGTCTACCGGACCATTTAGCTAAAGCACAGCCCTGACCCTGAACACCAAGGCTGACATGTGTTATTCACTACAGCTGTCTCCTTATATCTGGACCCTTATTAGATTTTATCAGGTTTGTCTTATCTGTCTCACTTAGTTATTTACCTCTGGCCAGTATCCCTCTCAGGTTGTGTCCCCAGTGCTTTGCTCTCAGGAGAGGGACTCAAACACTGTTGTCTGTGTAGCTCAAGTAGTGTTGCCCGTTGCGTTCACACCCTTCATTAGACCCTGGACTATAGAGCAACAGGTTTTAATATTGGATACTGTAAAAGAGAAGCTGATTTTGCATCAGATAGCCTCTATAGGGATGATAAATGCTTCAAAAATGAAATGTGGTTTATTATGGTTCATACTAAATATAGATGATAGGTCTTAGGCCATGATAAAGGACAACTTGCTGCGTAATGGAATTCCATTCTTGAGCAGGCTTTATCTTACTTTATTATTTTTCTGCTAGCCTTTTGATCCAGATTAGATCAAGGAGTTGTGGTTTGATCCTATTACTATATGTGATGAAAATACAGTATCAAAGACTTGCCTCTCTTTGTAGTCATCTTTAATTATAGAGAATTTTATTCAACATGCCAATGTAATATATAATCCCTATTAACAGATGTGGAGAGGAGCCTTTTTTTTCTGGTTGTGTCATGATTGTTCCTAAAGGTAAAGGAAAATTAATGTTGTGTTTTTCATTATTTTCTTTAGTCATAACTATGTGAAAGGGTCCATAACAATCTACATCATCAACCTGCATCGGTCGCGAAAGAAAATTAAGTTGGCGGGGACGTTACGGAACAATACTGTCCATCAGTACCTCCTGCAACCCTACGGCAGTGACGGACTCAGAGCCAAGTTAGTATCTCTCTTTCTGTCTCTCTGTCTCATACACCTGCACCTAGACACGCATGCCGGCATTGAATAATTGTTTTCTATCCAAACAACAGTGTGGACCTCATATAGAGTATCCAGTTCCATTCATTCATGCTGATCAAACAAGACAAATGCACTGGTGAGAGACTCAGCTTACCAAAACAGCTTTCCAGTCCCATCACTGCTTGTGTAAAAAAATAAAACACTTTTATAATAAAAGTAAAAAACCCTAATAATAAAAACGTTGGTTGAAGCAGTTTTCAAAAAAGTTAATTTTTTTGCAAAGGTCTGAAAGTCAGGGATAATGAGAATTTAATGAACAACTTTATGGGTGTTTAGTTATTTGATTTTTTCCAACCGTAATGGGGTGTTAAACACTGGCCCTTCAAATGCTGCAGTGAATCAATTTTAAGACAGCAGTGGGTGTTGGACTTCAGCTGTGTAAATCACGCTGAGTCGGCATGTTGTGTATGCAGTAACTTCCTGTCTTTATCTATATTGTAGATAGCTTAAGACAACAAACAAAACTCAACAAAAAACAACAAATAAAAGCTAGAAAGGAATAAACCTTTTTTTTAATTTCTGTTAAATCAGAATAATATATTGCACTGCTTTAATGAAACTTAGTTTTAAAAGGAAACATTGACTGAGCCCAGTCTTTCACAGAGTTCCAATGTGTTTACGCCCTTTTGTTTGAATCTGTTTTTATAGCCTACAACAGATGTTTTATCAATGGATTCTTACATCCTTTTATATTTATGCCATTTTAACTCTAAATTCAGTTTGACTATGATATATTGCACTTTATGTAACAAGGTAATATAATTCATATTGCCTTACAACATCGCTTAAAATTAAAGGTTTATGCTCTGTCTCTTCCACTCTCCTTTAAGCCCCTGGCCTGTTATTCTGACTCAGACTTAAGCCTCAAATCCTGGAATAACAGCCTAATGACCCAAGACTGTGTGTGTCTTTGTGTTATACGATACCTACATACGGCCTTAATTGAGTCTCAGGCATGATCCTTCAATAACAGCATAATGATGGAGGATGTTTTAGGTGTTAGAACAGGATTGCAAGGCAATTAATAGGAGAGCGAGCTAACGATGGGCCTTTTTCAGGCCTTAAGTGCCTTCCTTTACCACCGGCAGCGCAAGGAGACTTTTATGAAGAATTTAGCAACACCAGATGTCTATAAATTTGTCTGAGTAGTGGGACTTTTTAACGTTGGCCAACTATCGAGGTACATGCATGTTGTAGTAGAGCTTTGAGTAATTCAGAACTTTTAATTTGATATTTTATTGAATTTGAGGTTCATGTAAAAAAATATGCAGACCAGCGGCCATAATCTCTATAGTACTGTGAAATTTACAGTTTAACAATAAAAAATGGTTATAATAAAAGCAGCACTTAAAAGTTTAAAAGTTGTGTGTTTAAAAGAAACCCTACAGTACAAAAACAGTATAAGGAAACCATTTCTCTTTTGAACATGATTTATTATGTTATGTATCATCATATTTATAGATAATATCTTGTATGGATAAAGAGAAACAATGCATTTTTAAATAAACTATATGTGAAATTCATACTCAAACTGTGTAAGTTATGCAGGAAGGTTCATAATATTTTCCTACTGTATTTAAAAAATCTTATTAATTACTATACAATCTTTCTGTGATAATTATCCTGCTATCTGGCCCATAATCCATTTGTAAAAGTGTTAACCCTTAACTTACAAATGTGACATGTTATAGCTACTTTATAATAACATTTCATATTGTTTTAAATTGTTATGGTAAAACTATTAGTGAATAATAAAAGAATCAATGAATCAGCTATTAATAGCCTCTATAAAAACACAGACAGGAGGCAACTATTTCTGTTTTATGTGCAAAGAAAATAGAGGAATGTGAAATGTTTTGCATCTTGTAACAGGGCAAGGCTGCATGGCAGCCTAACAGGCATTTCTCGATTACTTAACTGTACATCTAGTTTAGTTAGTAACTAATCTTCCCTCACAAGAACACAAAACAAAAGAAACCTAGTTTAGTTGTACCTTATTTCACTTTTACACTATGAACTGTTGTTGTTGAATAGACAGTATTATAGCAAAGGTATTTTTGGAGAACATGACCAATTAAATTTATATCAAAATAATATTTTGAACAATTTTTCTTTGAAAACCTTATTTTAAATATTCTTATTGGTTTTAGTAGTTGATGTAGTTCACACTGCAAATGTACTATTTCAGTGTTTACTCGAAACTGTTAGTAGAGAAATAGGTTAGGATTTTCTCTGTGAAGGATCCACTAAAAAAGTCAGGTTGTACCTCTGTGCAGTCATGAAACTGCAATTTTGTAACAACAGCACCCCCAAGTGTCCAACTGATAGAATCATTACCCTTAAACACTGGAGGTCCAGTCTTGTGTTGATGTAAAAAGCCTCATTAACTGCCTCGTGTTTTCTCCACATATTTTTGTACAACTAGCAGTTTTATGTTGCAGTCTGCATTTCCCCCCCTTTTTTTCTTGCAGACATGTCCAGCTGAACGGGGAGAAGCTGCTCATGGTGGACAATGAGACATTCCCGGAGTTGAAGCCTAAGACATTGAGGGCTGGACGGACAATAGCCATGCCTCCCATGACCATAGGCTTTTATGTCATCAAAAACATTAACGCGTATGCCTGCCGAAGATAACATTGACCCTTCATCCCTGAGATGTGGGCGTGATGCTCAGAAGTCTACCAAACCAACCCTCTGCAAGCTTGACCCAAAGCTTAAAAACAGTGTGGCTCTTCTTTTTTCACCTTTCCAGGGACAACAGGGAGGTCAGAACACCACTTTATTTGGATTTTTGTCACTTCAGTAGAGTGGACATGTGGCTTGAATGCAGTACAGTCTTCTGGTTTAACAACAGCCTCTTTGACTGTTATTTCAATTGTAATATTTAAACCACACTACCAAATTACAAATAAACCCAGCCCTTTCCTTGTTCTCTTCTCTGGTCCAACAAAGAAAGACTTGCCCAAGACACATAAAAGGGCTGCACTGAACACTTTTAAATTCTTTTCACCAGGAATTCCTCAAATGCTACAAGTGATTGTTTTGTGCCAGTTTATGTATTTTTGTAGTTACAAAAAAGTCCACATTCTTTGACTTGATTAAGCTATTTTTTTTTTTTAGGATTGTCAAACCGAGGGTTTGTTTTCTGCCAAAAGAGTTCTTTTTTTCTAATTTTACACTGACTGGCAGTCAAAAAAGTATGAGAGAAAACTCTGAACAGGCAGCGTTTCTGAAGCATACACAAGTCAACTTCAGTTTGACTTGATCCTTTCCACAAAGAGAAAATGCTGCGGTGTGTGCAAGGTCATGCCTGGACTAACTAAGTGCTGTGTGTGTGTGTGTATGTGTGTGTGTGTATGCATATGTTTTATTGATAAAGCTACTGATGTGTCTGTCCAGTCTGTTTGAGAACATGTTTCTTCCCTTGCCGTATCAATTGGCTTAAAGGGAAAATCTGTTTCTTCTAAAGGCTGTTTTTGTATGTTTTGTGTATCATTGCTTTTCTGCCGCAGGTTTTCATCAGTTTAAACTGCAGAGTACGATAGCCAGGACGTGTTGCTGGTGCTGTTTTGCAGCGATGAAGAACAATGTGAACCCATCCCTAACATCTGTCCTCACATAGCCTGTATCCACACAAAATCTGGGTCTTGCTTTAGATTTAGAAATTCTGAAATACCAGTTTTTTTTATGTGTATTTGAACCTATACCTACATACCTTCAGTGTGATCTCACGTTTTATAATCCTCTTATGCTGCTAGGGTTTTTTGTACTAAATATACATTATATATTTTACATAATTTTGTACAGATTTACTGTCATATATTATTAGATAATGTATTGTACATAAAAAAGAGTGATGAAAATAAGTGATAAGCTTGATATGTTTACTTACATAAAGTATACACCTAATTTATATGATTAAATACTTTGTTTTGGGTTTCTCTTTTTTGGTTTTTATAGTTTACTGGTACAAATGCCCCAACTCTAAAGAAAAATCAAAAATAATTTAAAGAATGTTTTCATTGACTGTGTTAAGATGCAAATATCAGAGGCACAAACAATTTATTTGCAAGAGAAGGAATTGCCTGAAGATGGTTCATAACCTATGTTTCACAATTTTCACATCATTTATGTTAATTTTATTTCATAATATTTTAATCATTTTATTTAAAAATGGGATTGTTATTCTCTATACTAAAACCACAGAGTGAGTCAAAGCGTTGCCTGGAGAGATTTGGTCATGTTGCTTATTAGGTGCTTTGAACTCACACGACTAAGAACAACGATAACATTTCTTGATTCTTAACATGGTGGAAGACACAGGAGTAGGTTCAGTGCCTGAACATATTAAATATAAAGAAGTTTTCATCTGAATTTGTTTATAGTTAATGTAGAGATGTTCATATTTCTTTTGGAGAGCATTATTTTAATATGTAAAGTGTGCCTATATATTATTTTTTGTAAAAAAAAAAAAGTTTACATTGATAATAAACACCTACAAATACCTAAGAAGTTGTATTTTTTTCTGTATATATGTCAGGAAAAATGGCAAATCCCTCATGCCACAACCTGCACTAACACACAGAATTCATTCCTACTCAGATTTCAGTTTGTCAACAGGTCAGTCTACATTAAACTTTGCTTGTAAACTTGCTATGCTGTGCACAAGAGAGAATCTGGGAGTACATTCTACTTCTGTATACACAGCTAAGTCTCATCATGTGAATTAAATTGAGCAATGCAACCAAACTTCACAGCAGTTCTCAGGATATAACGGATCTGCAGAAGCACATGGTCGAAAGGAGAAAACAAAGAGATGAGAAGCTATGATTTATACCTGCACAGGAGCATAAAGATGAACAGAAATACCCTCATACAGACAGAACCTATCAATAAAAACTGTCAAATTATAGCAGCAACCTTAAACAAAGTTCCCATAGCATTAGAGTCAGCGTTGTTGGTGCACTCACTCACTCTTACACACACATACACATACTGTTACACTCTGTGGCCCCATATGTGGAAGCAGCTGGAGCGGGTCTTTGTAGTGGGAAAAGTGCTGTCTTGTCATTGCACGAGGCAGCTGCTGATGGGAAACATGAAGCCAGGATGGGATAAACCTCCAGACCTCAGCTTTGGTCCAGACAGGCCAAACCTGGGCCAGACCTGGCTCAGTGTCTGTTGATGCATAGACAACTGGGATCTGCTTGGTATGATCATGTAAGAAGTTAGATGAAGGGTTAGAGCCTGTGTGCCCTTTAAACAAAATGCTTGTCATTGAAGTGCCCTCAGTATCTCCCTGACAAGAATGGCACGCAAAGAAACGGCGCTGCGCTGATTTCTATAGAAAGCAAGACAGGCTTGAACTCTACTGAAGTTTCATGACAGTGAGTCATTAAACTTGGCAGCCCTTCAAGAGCTGTGATCCAAAGCATGTACCTTTAATTATATTTTTGTTTTAAGTTCCATTCATGGGAAATGGGCTTTTGCTTTTATGTAAGTAGCAGAAATGTTTGGTCACAGAAATGAAATTCAGGAACAATCTCCTTTCACATGTGGTTAATTTCAAACAGGCTGACATTGTTGACATGTAAGAATCAAACCAGACTCGTTAACACCTGGTCCATTTTAATTGGGGCTTTTGTGAATAGAAAAATATTATTCATTATACATACCATATTTATGACATTTTAATCCAAATGTGCATATATGTGCATATGTGTATACACTTATGCACATTTAGATGAATATACAGACATGCTTTGTTTTTAAAGCACGTGCAAACCTGGGAGAACAGTGAGCTAAACATGCTAAAGTACAGAAAGATAAGTAACTTAGATTGATCCTGATCTAAACTGTAACTTACTCAAAATCAAAAGTATGTTTGTTGAATAAATACCTCTGACCTGTGAGTGATGGGTTAACAATAACTGACCAAAGCAGTATTGAACAGTGAGGCCTTAGTGAACTTCCTGACATTCAGACCAGGATCTTATCAAGCCAATCCATGGACATGGTTTTGTTTGGCAAAATGTTGCTTCACATAAACCTGTACCTTGTGATAACAACTGCTCAGCGTCACTTCCTCTGACAAAATCTAATTGTGTTGTGATTTAGGAGGACTGCGCCGTGTCTGGCCACTTCTGCGTGACAGTGCCTCCTTAGTGGAGGTAACTGTTACCCAGGCCTGCCTAACACTGTTTATACTCAGTGATCCATTTTGAGACATGCAAGGCCCCCTTTTGCCCTGTTAGCATACACTGAGGATTTCATGATGTTTACTCTGTATATACAGGAGTCAGCTTAAATAAGACTTCCATGAATGCCGGATCCCCAGAAAACTGATGGACTAGATTAGACTTTGGCCCACAAAGTACAACTCTTGGCATTTTGGACCATTTTGACCCAAGCAAGGTTAATACAACATAAATATTTACCTTACTATGAGGTTCTTTGCTCTGCTCAGAAGCCAAGCATACAATCTGTGCTGAATATTATGATAGGCCTAGATTTGCTGTAGCCATCAAAACATTCTCTGAGAAACAGCCTGGTGTTTGGCGAGTGTGTATTTGTGTATATGCAGCATATATGTAATGTAAGTTGTTCACTTGATGAAAAATCTGTTATATTTATAGTCTATAGGAACAAATATGGGAAGCTACTTAATATTGAATTTATTGTTAAATGTCAATTTCTTATGTCTCTGATATAATAATAATGCTGTTTGTTGTGTTTAGCTTTGTTTACTTGAAAAACACCAGATCTATCTATCTATCTATCTATCTATCTATCTATCTATCTATCTATCTATCTATCTATCTATCTATCTATCTATCTATCTATCTATCTATCTATCTATTAAATCTATTTCATAACTTCTCATAACTTGTTGCCCAGGTTTAGAGGTGCTCACAAGCCCTCCATCGGAACGAGAGGGTTGCTTCTATGTGAGTACAAGTCACTCTGAGAGGAAGGCTCTGACTGCTGTGTGCGTTTATGCAAGCATAAAGCATAGAGTATCCGGCCTTCTTGGAGTGTCTGGGTGGTGTTCTGGAAATGATTCTGTCTAAGGAGTCTATACGTCTACTGGGAGACTTCCAAGCTCATATGGGCAATAATGGAGAAACCTGGATGGGGTTGACTGGGAGGAATGGTCTGCCAGATCTGAACTGGAGTGGTGTTTTGTTATTGGACTTCTGGTCGTGGATTGGACATAACAACCGTTGTTCCCCGGTAATGTTGTTACCCTGAGATGCAGAATAGGCTGTCTTGGCTGACATGCCTCTTCAGTGTCTCACTAAAGTCGGGGACAGTACCTGTGGAGTGGCAGACCAGGGTACTGGTTCTTATTTTCAAAAAGGAGGGACCAGAGGTGTGCCTCGAGTTATCAGGATATCACATTGCTTAGCCTCCCCGGGATAGTTCATTCCAGGGGGCTGGAAAGGAGAATCCAACTCATCCGCAGATTCAGGAGTAGCAATGCGGGTTCCGTCCTGGCCGTGGAACAGTGGACCAGCTCTTTACCTTTGCAGGGTTGTTGGAGCGGTCATGGGAGTTTGCCCTTCCAGTCGACATATATTTTGTGGACATGGAGAAGGCTTACGACCATGTCCCCTAGGGAAACCTGTGGGGCTGTGTGATGGAGTATGGGCAAGTGCTATGAGCCATCCCATCCTTGTATAACTGAAGTGAGAGCTATGTCCTTATTCTCATCACAAAGTCAAATAAGTTTCCAGTGACTATTGGACTCCTCCAAGATTGCCCCATGTCACTTATGCTGTTTGTGACATTGATGGACAGGATCTCAGAAGTGAGGAGAGTGTCCAGTTTGGAGACCTCAGAATTTTCCTTTTTGCAGACGATGTGGCCCTTTTGACTTCATCAGACCTTTGTGGTTTGCAGCTGAGTGTGAAGCGGCCTCTGGTGGAAAATGGTGGAGTTGCTGTTCCAAGTGAAGGATTTCGATTATCTTAAAGATACCGCCGATCCTTCGTATCAAAAGGAACCAGTTGAGGTGGTTCAGGCTTCTGATGCGTCCTGGGCGCATTCCTTTGGAGGTCTTCAGGGCACGTCCAACTGGGAGGAGACCCTGAGATAGATCCTGAACTCGCTGGAGGGATTATGTATCTCTGGTCGAAACACCTCAGGATCCCCTGAGTAGAAGCTGACAAACATTGCTGGTAAGAGCCACCACGACCCCACCCCGGATAAATGGACGATAATAGATTGATGGATCAAAACTCCTTATCAATCAGAACTGTATTTAATATTTAATTAAATTAGAGGTTTATGTAAAAAAAATCTCCTTTCCACAGGTCTCATTCTCTGTATTATGTATTTCTGTATTGTTTCTCTGTATAATTACTACAAAATATATTATTAATCTAAATATTTAAATATCAGCACTAGTGCACAGTGCTGTGTTTTTTGTGTACTTTTCCTACAACTTTTACTAAAAGATTACTTTATTAAGCTTATTTTCTCTTACAGAGCACTACACCCTAACTAAGCTGCATTCCACAAATACCAAACTATTGTCTACAGCACAGGCTCTCAGTCATGCGCCCTACTTTAGGCACCAGCACATGACTTTCTCCTGCCTCACTGATCACCAGGCTCCTCGAGGGACAGCCCATTGACAAGAACCAGCCACTTATCCAGGAGCAGTCTTACAGAGGGATCCTCAACAGCTTGACAGCTCTATCTGTTTTCAGATCAGCACAAAACTTCCTGTTCGCAAAGCCCCGCTGATGTCACATGACTCGGCGGCTGTGTTGCGGAAGGAAAGCTGCTGGATTGAGAGAGCAGCAGCGAGAAACAACCGAGGAGATCCTGCAGGTCTGGGCAGCAGAGACAGAGATGCTGGAATCATCCGGCGCAGGAAACACAGTGAGTTTTTTGTTGTTGTTGTAAAATAACCTATAAGTGTTGCGTTCATGGACAGTCAGGAGCCTATGCATGAGGGAAGTTGAACGTTTGGTAAGGGGAAATAACTTCAGGCTGTAGGTAAAACGCGGGGTGAAGTTTACGGATCGGATTTGTTGAGCTTTGGAATGAACTGAAATAGATACAACATGTAGAGTTATAGAATATGGGTTTACATGGGCTGTGTGTCTGGCTGCACAGGTGGCCTATAGTTTGTAGACACAAGAAACAGCTGATATCAGATGATCAGAACTGGGTTCATTTCAACAGCATGTCATGTCATGATGGTTAATAATATTAGGGAAGTGTTGCAATCACATGGTTCTGCCTGTCTGTGATCGTAAAATTAGATCAAAAACATTTCACAATTTGTATTTCCTGATGATGATTGTATGTCAATATAAAGAGTTGCAAAGAACTGAATCTAAAAGCCTCAGATATGCCAAGATTAACACTAAATGAAGGACTCTATCCAGATTCAGTAACTGAGGTTTTTTTTTTGAGTAAGCCGATTTCAGGGGGCAATAAGTTTACAAAGCACAGTCATGCATTTATCAACAGATTAAGGCTG